TATGTACTACCATTTTTAATACGGTTAAACAGCAGCATTGTTTACAAGATGGTACATAAGTACATCTTTTTGGTTTTAAAGCATTCTCCCTCCAGAACTTAGGGAAGGAATAGCTGTTAAATATGATTAGATTAGGCAAATGTTTTAATGCAAATAAAACAATATACTACCTTAAAGTCCAATGGCAATGGCTGTAAAGTATTAGCTGGGTATTCAAAACAGTACCATAAATGGGAAGCTTGACTTCAGTGACACAGGTTATTTTGATGGGCTCTTCAGAAGTTTTTATTTAATCAAGGTTTTTTTTACAATTATAAAGGTCAGAAAAGCCCCTGAGAGGAGGAAGCCCAATGCAGTAGTCTAGAAGACGGTAACAGTAGTAGAGAGATGTCAAAAGCTTGGTCAAATAATAAAGACAGAAACAGATTAAAGGGGGAATTAATGATCAATGTTAAAAGATACAGGCATCCAAAACACAAACTCATTTCTGATACAGGAAGACTGTCATCACAGGAACCTGACTTTCACAGTAGCAAGGCAATATTTGCCAGTAATACAGTGTTTGTATTAGTATTGCCTCAATACTTACCCTTTTCCTAATTTTTTCTAAGCATTTAGCAACTTGTCCTGATAATTCAGTCATACTGTCATCTCTTTAAATGGAAAAAAAAAACCAAAACCACCCAACCACCCATCAAAAACTCTGTGCCCAAACTGGTCGACCACTGCCATATCTCAGCCTGTGGTACATGCAGTCTTCCTCTCTCCTTTCCTCCTGGATCACTTATGCTCTTGATTTTCCAAAACTCGAGCTTTATCTTTTATCTTACTCTCTCTTGCCCCATTATCAACAGATGAGGAAATACAGATTCTTTGATTCTATCAAGCTGATCTAGTGAAAGATGTTCCTGCCCATGGCAGGGGAGTTGGACTAGGTCATCTTTAATGGTCCCTTCTAGCCCAAACCATTCTGTAATTCTATTATTTTCAACACAATACTAATTTTTTTTTAATGTTGTATTCTTAATTACTAGGAACTGAGTTTATTAAGCTGCTTTTCAGTAATCAGTGGTCCTTTTTGCAAAATACAGGGTCTTCATCATGTGTAGAAAGCTTACACTATTTCCTGCTCAATTTAGCCAGGAGATTTGTCTGAACTATAGCATTCTAGTTTAGCTTGTGACAGGTTATTCAAACAGTGAAAACCATGTACCCAAGATGATATTAATAAATGAAATTATCTTGCCGGATATCACTCACGAGTCTTTTATATGTTTAGCATAATTATAGAAGCATGTGTGTCTACAGCATTATTATTTTAAGCTTTTATTTATTCTAGAATAATCCTAATGAACTGTTATGTCAGTGTTCAAGGCCATGGCATATGCTCTCTGCATCCTGACCCAGCCTCTGTGGCAGGGTTTATTAAAGGTGAAACACTATGTTATAGTGCATGTCCATTTGAATTTTTTTTCTTTTGTTAGGTTAATTGAAGGAGATGCTTACTACGCACTCAAGGATTTTTTACTCCTCATTAAGTCTATTGGGTATGGTAAACTTGTGTGCTTTTTAATATACAATATATTTTCATCTTTGAAGCAAGTTAAAATGAAACAATGCTTTATTTGTGTCTTTTTTTTTTTTTTCTTTAAAACAGAACATCACTGAGTGAACTGTGTGATGATCCAAATGATAATGTTCTACTGGCATTTCAACAACTGGGCAAAATCTATGACGAGAAACTGAAGCGTGTTACCTGAAGAAAAAAAAAAGTGGCAGTACATAATACTCTTTACCACACAGATCAGTGGCCTTTTAAATTAGGAAGTGACTACTTCTGAGTTATCAACTATGTTTCATAATGAAGCTTTAGTAATATCCAATCTTAGTAATACAAAGTTTACTTTAGAAAATTAACCTTTACACATTGACATTTTAGCAGCTCCAGTGTCAAATAAATAATTGTTTCTAATAGATTACAAAACTAGGTAATTGTACATCTTTTGATTGCATTTTTTTTTCAGGCAGTAATATATAGATGTTAAGACAGCACTCAGAAATACACTGAACAACTGTCACATTTCTGACAGCTGGTGAGATTAGCCTCTCAGTAGGATGGCATTGGAAACTTTCAGCCCATTTGTGAAGGAAGTTTAGCAATTACAAGTAAATAAATTGGTCTAATTATTTTCTAAGGTTTCTATTAAGTTATGAAGTAGTACCTTCACGAAAGATACATTATAAAAGCTTTTAAACCTAGCTGCAGTTTTAGACTACAAAATTTTAAGTATAAAGAGTGTTTTATATCAGTGTAATGAAGTTTGATTAATAAAATATTCCAGCCTTATGCAGAATTGCTTCATTTTTCACCTCTTGTATCTTTAAGAGTCAGAAAGGTCCAGGACACCTCTAGCATACTTGTCAAAAAGTCCCTTGCAATACAAACTATTGAATTTAGTAAAATATGTTTCCTAACTATTTTCTTGGGTTTTTTTGCTGGGAAAAGCAAAGTTTTCAGTAGTATTTTCCTGAAAACTACATCTTAGTCTACCTGTAGTCTGAAAAAATTATACACACACATATTATGTTTAGATAACCTAAGAAAATTAGGCTTCGATTGCTACACATGATTTTATAATGATGACAGAGACAACGATGCAAGTTATTCTCTACTGATGGTAAGCAAGATGTGCATTAAGGACAATTCAGAATCCCATTTCTTCCGGTTAGCTCTGGTGTTCATCAAATGATCACTGATGAAGTCCTTGACTTGAAATCTCTTCAGGCATTGTTAAACTACGTGCAACGTGCTGCTAGGAGATAGCCAGGGCAAAACCTGTATGTAGTCAGGTAGTGCTGCTGAGCTACCATCAACCGACTTAAACTCTTTTTTTCCTTACAGTTTTTTAATGTGTGAAACAAAACAGACTTAGAACACAGTGGTAGAAAAGTGTTTAAACTCTGCTTGGAAAATAAAATTACTCGAATTATTCTTTCCTGTCTGGCAAGTCATGCCCTATGTAGATAAATCTTGCAGAATTGTTCCTCAACTAGGGTAGAAGTGACCTTTCCATGTTCATGTTTCCCAGATATAAGTGGAGTAATTTTTTTTTTTTATTTTAGCTAAGACACAATTAATTGACCAAAGAATAAAGTCAGAAATTGATGCTATTGTGTTCTCAGTTATTTGACCAGTAAGCATTAAATCCTGGGTGAAAACCAAACTTATTAGGTCTACCACAGGGTACTAATTTTATATGCAGAAAACCATAATGTCTCAAAGCATTAGTAACAGCAGTCAACATTCCACTTTTAATAACATGTATAAAAAGCACCTCACTCCTGTTATGGCTTTTACTAAGGAGTCAATAGTGAAAGATGACAAAGTGATTAAGTCAAAATGACCAAGGAATCAACTTGTGAAAATATTAAAAAAAAAAACCAACCCAAATCGGTAATTCTACCAACTTAGTAGACTGTAATTTTACTGTGACTTATCGTAAATAAATCATCCTGCTTACCATTTATTTCCCCTGTAAAGCCTTAATGCTGAGCTGTAATACACTTAAACAACAACTTGCCATGCTTGAAAAGCAGTCCTAGGACTGTATTGAACCCACAAACCAACCATTTCTGCTTTCAAAACCAGCGTATTGTAGTCTGTTTATTTGCTTTATGAATTCTATAGTGGTGTCTTTTCACCAAGAGATGAAGTATCTGCTTGAAAGTATAACTTTATCAAACTCTCATGAAACTCTGTAATAGAAATGAACAGAAGATAGATACATTAGTAATAAGCAATTTTAAGAAACTCAGTGGGGTTTCTGAATAACCCTAACTCATTAGGAAAAAAACATTTTCTACAGCCTTCTGTCTCTCAAATTGTTCCATTTCTGTGGCTTTCATTGTAGTGAGAGCAACCTCCATCCATGACACTCTGCCGTTATCTACACGCTTTGTCTTCCAGTAATTTAACTTAATACCTTTTTAATGCTTCTCCCTTACACATGCAGAAGAACATGACAAGAATGTCTAGATATAAAAGCAGAACAGTTCTTAGGAGAAAACTGAAATATGCTAAGACTTGAAAGATGAACATCAAGAACTATAAAACTAACAATGAAGAGAATTTTCACCACCTTCCTTACTATAATGCAAAGGGAAGATTAGTTAAGTTTTATAAATTCTAGAAACTATTTTCAGCACTATTAATAGAGGAATGCACTGCCACAGAAACACTGACGCCGAGAATTTAACACAAATCTAATTCGAAACAGATCAATGTTTCCTAAACCAAAAATAGTATTTCTAAGTATTCTGTTACAGTAAGTATATTGGCAAGCCTTGCAGATCTTGAAGTTATATTTCTCTTATGAAGTCACAAAGATAATTTAGGAATTTAAAAAAAAAGGTGAAAAATTCCAAAGGGATATTAAACATTCTGCATTCTACAGGTTGACAACTTATTTAAAATCTGGCACCAGCTTTTGCTGGAGTGAACACCAAATGAAATAGAGCTTCAATCTGAAATAGTACTACTGTAACGTATTCTAATAGCTAAACCAAAATTATCTCTTGGATGCAATAAAATGGTTAATAAATTAGAAAAGATGGTATTTTTCTCCTCACTTTGTACTGAAAATTCAGTGAGTTCTGGATCATTAATACAGTGAGAAGTGCTGTTTTCCTTTTTTAGAAGGAAATGTTTGCGTTTTAATAGCTAGATTCTCCTAATGCTTTCATCAAAACAGCAAGTTAGTATCTGTCCACTGATTCCCAAACTGTTGCCAGAATGAACTGAAAATCAGTTTTGACTATTACTTTTCATAAAGGCAGCATTTCAGAAGCATAGCTGACCCCCTTCTGCAATGTACAACAAGAACACTGAAGTGGTGTTTCGATTTGAAAAGCGTAAGAGAAACTGTTGAAATACACTAGAAGTTGCACCTTCAATATACATTAAATACATCATAGAAAAAGAAAACAGCCGGAGGGAGAATACACAAAATGACTTCCAGTAACACCCTTCAACATCCTCAATTTGCCCCATGGTTCTCCTCCCTGCCTCCCTGCAAAGGGAACGCTGTTGGCAATACCCTCTCACTGATTTCACCCTAGTGCAAGTGCTGCTGTACCGGAACAGCGATACACTGCTTCCTGTTGCCGAGGCTTCACCAAACCTGCTTTCTCGGACACCTCAGTTGTTGTGTCGCTGTCCCCCTCCCCATAGCCCAGGAGCACTTCTCCAAAGGTCTGCATTCTTAAAGATGCAGCATATACAGTCATACTTGAGTCTTAACAAGACATGACATTTTTGGTTGTTTCTTCGGTTTGGGTTTGTACTATAAAAACACTTTAGTATGCTGTACTTGCTGATAAGCAGTTATGTTTCTAACACAGAGATACCTCAATTGGCAAGAATCAGGGAGAATAACAGCTGTAAAAATCACAGGTATCCCCACTTTTTAATGTGTTAAGTAGCATTTATTTAATTCCAGCTTATTTAAGTATAGTTATCTTCTATGTCACTCACTCTTCATGTCTCCGATTTTCTTCTAGTAGATACTTTGTCTTCAGCAACAGAAAAATATTCTGATGCACTGCTGGTATCAGTAGAGACAGATGTTTGACTTAGCTCTTCAGTGTCAGAATCACTGTCGCTCGGCACCCCTCCTGCCTCATTTACTGTTAGCACAGAACCTCCTGAAGATGGATCACTGCATGCGCCAGGAACAGAACAAGCTGCATTCTGAGACTGTAAAGTCACAGGTTCATCTTCCCTCCTAGGACAGGAACAGTTATTTTCAGCAACAGTTTCACTTTCTTCATCTTTTACCTTTGTTTCTTGTTTTGTTGCTGTAAGTTGAGTGGAAGATGCATTCTCGTATTTAACAGGAAGGACAACTGAACACAAAGGCTGACTATGAGAAGAATTACTATCAGCAAGCATTTCTGCACTTTCATCTTTCTTAGAGGAGTTCATAGGAAAGAATGAACCTTCACATTTTGGTTGACTATGTCTAGAAGCAGGCTCTGCACACTCTGAAGATACAGGCTTCCCCAGATCGAGAGGTATCTTGTCAGGAGGTTTCATCTTCTCTTTTTCCATTTTTTCAGTACCATTTCCAGACAAAAACACAGAGGAAGTCAGTGAATCAGAGGTATTTCTGACAATACTTCCAAATGAAAATACTGGTGAAGGCAACTGAAAACAGTTATGTCTGAAGGAAAATACACAGTTACTGGGGAGAAGGGGGGACTCTGAGACATCATCCACCCCAGCTGCAGAGTTGGTTTCTGAAGTACTGCAAGCTACAGTCATGATGGATTCTGAGGCATTAGCTTTTTGTTCCCATGAGACAGATGGTTTCAGTGTACCGTATTCTGCAGTTTCCTTTGCCAAAAGCTTTTTTTCTCTCATGTGAGATGATGTATTTTTGTCAGATGGCTCCTCAGATTGGCTAAAAAATGAGGATAATGGTAAAACCTTAAAGGAATTGCTGACTCCCAATCCTGCAAAACAATCTCTTTCTGGATTACCAAGGGGAAACGAAAAATCTGGCTTCTCACTTTCTGCTGAGTCTAAATTCAGACTGGTTGAAGCATCAGAAGCTGTGGTTTTGGTTATAGGAACGTGTTTTCTAAGTTTGCTTTCATCCTGATCATCGGCTTTATCCACATGATCACATTTTCCTAGATAAAACTGAGGGAAAACATTTTTCCTGTCTTTCTTTTTAAAGGAGAATGTACGTGCATCTTTAATAAATCTGGGTAATGAGTTGTTACATGCACTGAAAGCAAAAGGTAAAGCAGAAAGTCTCTCTGTAGAAACATCTAGAAATTCTGAATTTGAAACAGTAACAGCTACTGATGCTGCTTCTTTTAAGACGGATGAAGTGCTAGAATTTGTGTCCATTTCACTGGAAACAATAAATGCCGATGCCTGCATTGGCAATTTTTCTTTACTTACTAAGTCTTTCGAGTTTTCTGATAAGGCTGGAGTGGTTACTTCCTGGGAACTTCTCTCCTGAAATAACTTTAAGTCACTTTTTGTTTCCAAAAAGTTCATACTTGTGGATGGGATGCTGTGATTACTGCTTCCAGAAAAACTTCTCTCAAAGACATCTGCTCTTTGCAGGGTTCCCATTTTTACTTTATCTGTGTTATTTGCTTTGGTAGGTAAAGACACAAAAGGAGATCCTGAGGACCTATCCTTCAAAGCCTCAGCAGTTACAAATTTATATTTTTTATTTGCAGGTAAAGTCTGTGTCTTCAACTCATCGGTGAGCTTCTGACGTTCCATATAGTATTTGTAACGTAACTCCTACAATTACAGCAAAGAATTCTGTTAAGTAAAACGGCATTTGTGGATTCAGAGGTTATAAAACTCACGTACAATCCTAAGAAAAGTTTCTGTTTATTCTATAGCATTTATGGTACGTTTTTCCATTGCTGCTAGAAGGCAACAGAATACAAGTCATTATGGACTAGGTAATTGGAAACAAAAAGAGACTGTATTCAGTTTCATGTCAAATCACCAGGAATTTAGGTACTCTTAGAAGAGTGAATTCTATTATCGTCAGAAAACAGAACACGGGCAGATGACGTCCTCTTCAAATAAGCAATAGAGAGGCTTATTTGGATTAGAAAGTTACATATGTGAGTCAAAAAGCCACAGTAAAAGTAAGTACTTGAAGTCAGTAGTAAGATTAAGTTCCAGCTTTCTGAAGAAAGAAAAAGAGTAAAATCCTGACAGCTTTAATAACCTAGTCAGATTTACATTCAAGAATTGGAAGGGTATCTTTCTACTAAGAAAACTGAAAAATATTGTAAAAGCTTATTTAGAAAGTTGTGTCGTAACAAATAGTAACTCAGCCATACTTACAACAGATGTTCAATCATACCTCATGACTCATGTTTTGAAACGCTGACATTTCTGATATTGACATTAAGCGAGTACAGATCCTGCTACCATCTGCTAGTGCTTCCTCCTGTCCTGCCACAGGCTGAAAAATGTTTTGCAGCAGACACTGTAGTTCATTTTGGTAAGACAAAATAAACAAAGTAGTACAGTGTTGCAGCCCCATAGTTAATAACTTACAAGAAATGTGTTGGGTATATTCTTCCGGTCCTGCCATTGCTTTATGTTATTTTTAAATAGAGTGGGTTTTGTTGAGTTCTCGTTTCCTCGAGAAGGTAAATCTATTAGAAAGAATACAAGAATACTGATGGAGAGCATATTAAGTACGGAAAATAGTGAAAGGTTCCTGTGCATCTAAATATAGATTCCAATTAAGAACAAAAGTATATTGCCCTAAGTGAGACCCTAGTATTTGTCAAAACTTCTGTGATATAAAGCAAGAGGACTGCATAAGAAGTTTTCTAAATGCCTGAAGAGGCCTGCCCTGATACAAAACCTAATATTTTCTCCTATAAGGTAAAAGCATTTAATCAGAGCGTAGTTAACGGTCATGTTACACTACAACAAATACCCATCTAGTTCAGCAACACACTTCTGATAGCAACGATACTGGTTGTATAGGAAAATTACAATGATACTTCCCCCAGCTTCCAAAAATACAGCCTACGGCTGCTCTTATAGAAACCACATGCATAAAATGCATTTAAAAGACCTTGATGAATTTATCATTCATTAAGTTGATCAGATGCTTTCTGAACACTTGCATACTTTTGCCATGCAGATTGTTCATTAGCAATTAGTTCCACAAGCTGCAGGTTCCTAGAGTGACTTCCCGAATCTTGCCCTATATTAAGTCCTTCTTCCCTACCTTTAACAATGCCTACGTTAACCGGCATTAACTTCAGAGCCAAGATTTCATTAACCACAGGTTTGATATCCATCTTCTTTTGAGTATACTCTGGTGGTTTTTCATAGCTAGATGCTATATTCATCAGGTCAAGCTGAGTTTTCATTCTGGGAAAGGGAAAAAACAAACAAAACCAAACTTAAACACTTTTCTTAAGGCTCACATACCAACAACTAAATTAACCTAATACAAAAAAAAATTTAAAAGAAATCACTAAAGAGGAAGAACAAAGCAGAAAAAGTAAGTCCCAATAAGTTTTCTTAAAACTTGGTACTTGACAATTCCCTTGAATTAGGTTTCATAAACAATGAAAATTGCAAGAAGTACTGCCTGTAGATCAGCAAAAAGATTAAAACACACTTACTTTTCTTAGTGTACTATGCCTGAATCTAAATTATATACTTTCTTCAGAGGGCATTGCTAATGTTAGTCTGAACCACAAGATATTTTAAAGAAATCCATTTCCAATATTCTCTCTTAAACTCTGCTTAAAAAGTGATACGAAATGTAAGAATCTTTAGACAGAAATATACAGGGTATGTGCACTGCAAACAGAAAAATGAAGACACTGCAGCATCTCCATACATGCCCTTAGACTTAAAGATTTCTGTAAAAGCTCCAGGCATGCTTAAGTGTTCCTAAGTTTAAGTAAGATATACAAAAAAATATCCAATCACCATGTATTAATAAACTCCTATGCTTAGTTTTTGTCAGGGAGCCAATTCAAAAGATCAATTACCTCTAATGCCAGATAGTACGTGACAAAAATTTGATACATTTCCTAAAATTTGGAACATGGAGCATCCAAAAATCTGAAAGCATTATAATGTCTTAATTACTAAATACTATTTTCATTTTAAGTTGCTATATCTGACCATATCCAAAGTAACTATTTTCTTAGTTTTTAATCTTAAAGTCATACTAGAGAACTAATAAAACAAGAAAAAAAAATACCTTGTATTCAAGCCACAGGCCACCTATAAATAAAACAAAAGTTGGTAAGATAGGAGTTTTTTGCCAACTTTCAAAAGGAGACTATTGCTTTATCAAAATACTTCAGAGACTGAACTCCTTTTCTTCATTTCACAGAACTATAGGAAATAAACCTGTTAACATTAAAAAATAGTGGAAAATAAAAGAACATCCAAATGTAAAAAAAAAAAAAAAAAGTATGCCTGGGTGCCTGGGACAATAATTTATCTTGTAGTATTTTGTGTTAAAGACAAAAAGAACTCCTTCAGAGACAAATGAAGGCATTCAAATAATGAATCATGACCCATATGGTTATCTAATCTATTTCAGATGTTCTGATATTTGTAAACATTCAAATAAAAGACTATTTTGTATTTCTTGGTGAGAGAAGCCTCTGCTACCTGCTCTCAAGATACTATTACACTGAGATTAAAAAAAAGCTGTCTTTTAGTTTTAAATCAGCCTGATAATGTCAGTATGAAGTGCACTGCACTTCAGTCAAGTGACACCTCCCAAAGAATGGGTAGTGAAAAGTAAAAAACTGGCTGGATTACAGCCTAGCTGCTTCCCTATAAAAACCTGGTGATCTCACTGTACTGAATCTTAAAAACAACACCACCACCCCCACCACCCCCCACCTCACTGAAGAGAGCCGTGTACTGTTATGGGGGCAGGTGGGAAAGTGCTAAGTTTAAAGTGTATTAATCACTGGAGTCACTATTTCTTCCAAAGTGGGAGTGGCTTTTACTTCAGGTAAAAGTGAAATTTTCCTTAACAAGTTGTAACCAGAAATTTAGTTAAAATCTAAGTACTTTCTTAACTTCTCGTTTATCTGAAGGCAGCAAAAAGACCCACTGCAGAAAACAGCAATATGCTGCGGTTGCTTAGGAAAGCTTAAGCCTTGAAGTTTAAGGAAACACAAAATTCCGTAGTTATTTAAGCACTTTACCCCATATCCACCATTTGCCTAAATTCCATGTAACTGCAGCTGCAGTGTTGACATGAACAAGATGAAAATGACTACACTAGCTTAGGTAACAGTGAAGATTAAGCTTTTGTCTTGCATTCCTCTAGCATTTATGCCTAAATCACACACAGTGTTTTTCTCCGCAGTTCCCTTAAACACTACAAGGAAGACTTTCAAGGTATCATACACAGAAGTGTACATACTACGTAGTACAGTGTATATCATAAGTACCTAAGCTAGCTTTCAATAGGCGGATTTATCTCCATTGCACACCTCGCTGCAAAGTTTACAGCAAGTTTTAAAATCTGTAAAATCACCATAGCTCAGGTATCCCAACATGGTACTTCACTGTGCAGCACAGACAGGTTATTGGTTCTGGCTCCACTCTT